TATGAATGTTCAGCATAGCACTGTTTACAAGAAAAAATTTAAAACAATATATATGTCTGAAATATGGCTCTAGTGAAATAAATTCCACAAATATGCAGCCATTAAAAATACTTATTCTCATATTTACTGACACAGAAACATGTTCAGTAAGTATTAACTTTTAAAAGATAGTCTATAAAATAATATGTAAAAAATTACATTTTTGTTAAAAAATATATGTGTGGGTCTATTAAAAAATCTGGAAGGCTGTTCATTTGGTTTGTTTCTCAGTGATGGGCTTACAAATGTAATCACTACTTTTTTTCCTTTTTTGAATTTTTGAAAAATTTCAATGTCTTATGACCATAAAACCAATAAAGCTACTTTGAAAAGTTAAAGCCAGAAGTAATTAAACAACTCATATTTGATCGTTAAAGTCAGCCTCTTAAAAGCATAATTTTAAAAAGGTAATAAAAAATTTATAACATATATATTAATACATTAAATATATAACACTTATTGGTATTAATAAAATTATATCCAATCTCATAAATCAAATTTATTGTATAATATAAAAACAATTTGTTCACTTATGTAATAATGGACACAAGAAATAACTTACGCAGATTCCTTATGTGAAGCATACTTACTTTGCACATAACTATTTTTTAAATGACAATGGAGTCTACAACGATGCTCATTCTTGATTATTTGGAATAATGAAAACTGTTCTCTAAAGCATTAAGATGGATTATTTTCTATAGATTCTTCCAGGATCTGGAAATACTGATTTCCAGGTACTCTCAACCAAGAGATGTGACCAAAATACAAAAAATGCAAAAGACACCTCCATTACAAAGTCATGAATCCTTTCTATAAACCTCAGGATTTATAGTGTCACAAATTATGAATCATTGTCTCCTTTAGAAAACAAACATTCAACACCTGAATGGAGAAAGAAGTCAACATATTTAAATATTTAATGCATATAACTTTAAAGTTGATAAAATGTCCCTTTCAACTAAAAATAAATGCCCTTATCCACTTAGCTGGACTGAAAGTGGGATACTGAAAACTTGAATTAATGGCCAACCCAGAGCAGCAGCAGCAGCAGCAGCAATATTCCCCTCCTTCAGTAAAGTATGGCCTGTAAGTTAGCCCTAAGGAGAAAGAAGACCATTCAGGTATGAGAAAAACCTAGGCTGGACACAGAGTACACAGATGCCTAACACAAAAGTTCTGCTGCCACTCAACCTTTGTTTATATATAATCACAAATTTTCTTTTCTTTTCTTTTTTTTTTTTTGAGACGGAGTCTCGCTCTGTCGCCCAGGCTGGAGTGCAGTGGCGCAATCTCGGCTCACTGCAAGCTCCGCCTCCCGGGTTCACGCCATTCTCCTGCCTCAGCCTCCCCAGTAGCTGGGACTACAGGCACCCGCCACTGCGCCCGGCTAATTTTTTCTATTTTTAGTAGAGACGGGGTTTCACCATGGTCTCGATCTCCTGACCTTGTGATCCGCCCGCCTCAGCCTCCCAAAGTGCTGGGATTACAGATGTGAGCCACCGCGCCCGGCCTTTCTTTTCTTTTTTTTAGAGACAAAGTCTTGCTCTGTCGCCCAGGCTGGAGTGAGTGAGGTCGTACCTCACTTTAGCCTCTAACTCCTAGGCTCAAGCAATTCTCCTGACTCAGCCTCCTGAGTAGCTGGGACTACATGGCAAGTGCCACCAAGCTTGGGTAATTTTTTCTTTTTTCCTTTTTTGAAGAGACAGGGTCCCTCTATGTTGTCCAGGCTGGTCTCAAGTGTTCCTCCTGTCTCAGCATCCCAAAGCACTGGGATTACAGGAGTGAGCCACTGAGCCTGACCTAATTACCAATTTATTTTCAACCCTCATTCCAGAAGGAAGACAAAAATAAAAAGCCAATATCCACTTAACTGCAAATTTCATGACGTCCTTATAAAGCCAGCGCATTATATTTTCTTTCCCTCACGAAGCAATTTTCAATAATCACAATATATATTTAAATGTTAATAATCTTACTTTTTTTTTTTTTTTTTGACAAGATATCTCTGTCGCCCAAGCTGAAGCATAGTGACATGATCATAGCTCACTGTAACCTTGAATTCATGGGCTCCTGCTTCAGCCTCCTGTGTAGCTAGGACTATAGAAATGCACAACTATACTTGGCTAAATTTTTGTTTTTAAAGTGTTTTGTAGCGATGGGGTCTCACCGTGTTGCCCGGGCTGGTCTTCAACTCCTGGCCTCAAGTGATCCTTCCACCTTGGCCTCCCAAAGTGCTGGGGACTATAGGCATAAACTACCACACTGAACCTACTAACCCTACATTTTACATGATGAGTTCAGATTTTAAAAGGATTAGTTTGCTAATAAAGTGTCAAAAGCAAAGCGAAAAATCAAAAGATTACTTGAAGTATTTACATGATGATCCAAATTTAAAGCGACCTCAACAAGCAAAATTTACTGTTTATAAATAACTGTATCATGATTTACAAATAGGAACACATATATTATACATAATGGGTATAATGTGAATGAATTTTATCAATGGAAAGTACAAAACAGCTTGCTGATGAAAGAGGAAGGAAAAAGCTCACAGTGAACTTGCAAGCAGATCCTTCAGCCCCAGTCAACCCTTCAGATGTCTGCAGCCACTGCCGACATCCTGACTGCAACTTCATGAGACCCTGGGCCAGAACTGCCAGCTAAGTCTTGACCTCGCAGAAAGAATAAAATTATTGTCTACTTTTTTGTGTGTGTGCATGTGAGATGGAGTCTGGCTCTGTCACGCAGGCTGGAGTGCAGTGGCATGATCTCGGCTCACTGCAAGCTCTGCCTCCCCTGTTCACGCCGTTCTCCTGCCTCAGCCTCCCGAGTAGCTGGGACTACAGGCGCCCGCCACCACGCCTGGCTAATTTTTTGTATTTTTAGTAGAGATGGGTTTTCACCGTGTTAGCCAGGATAGTCGCGATCTCCTGACCTCGTGATCTGCCCGCCTCGGCCTCCCAAAGTGCTGGGATTACAGGCGTGAGCCGGCCCCTATTGTCTACTGTTTTAAGCCTCTAAGTTTTGGTGTAATTTATTACAGAATAGATATGTAGAAGAGTACTATTTCTATTTTTAAGGAAGGTATAATTGCAGCTCCAGAACCCCACATTTCTGGCATCTATTCTAGTACAACTTTTGGTGCAGATATTTAGCATCTGGCTTAGATTCTGAGTATTAGAAAAAGAGAAATTTACTAAGTGTTCTTCCTGTATTACTTATTGTCTCTGAAAAATACACCTAAGCGTACCCATTTTTCTTCTTAAACTTATTTCCTTTTCCATTTCCTATTCCTCCCCCTACAAATAAAACGGACTCCCGAACCTCCTAAATTCATAAGCTTTAAGTTTATTTTACATATTCATTTTTGTTGAGAATGTTCCTTAAGAGTAGTGATCTCTTTTAAACTTGTCATGCTTAAAATCCAGTGTGCTCAAGGTATTTAATAAATATTCCATTTTACTAATACAAGGGGTAATCACACAATAAATCCTCAGCCTATGAACTAAATATACTGTTTGGGATGACTTCTCTGACGTTAACTGACATATTATAAATTCCTCCTTATGACTCGCAGAAGCCACTTTCTGCAATGGCCAAACTTTGTCACACCCCATCCCACATACAGCAAATACCACTAACTTTGGGGCCTTCAGAGTATACATAGCAGTACTTTTCTCCTTCCTGAATTCCACAAACATATGATTAGCTGGTCACTTTAATTATACGATATCATGTATTGTTTGCTAATAATCTCTTAGACATTATTTCTGTCAAAACAAATAAGAGCTGATACATTCTCTAAGTAAATGTCATCTGTTTTAACTTTCCCTCCTCCCCACCAACCTCACACGTTATATGCAAAAACCTAAGGTCAAAACACGGTCCAAATTCCAGAAACCGCCTTTATTATGCTTTACCAGGAAGACCTCATCACTTAACTGTAGTTGTTGTAAACTTAATATATTTAATTTCTTTAATGGAAAAATATCAAAAGCAGATGCCAAATCTGATGCAACTGACAAAGAAAGGAAACACAAATCTTGCTTACTTTCACTGAAACTTTTTATAGCCATTAGATGTCTGCACTTAAAATGTTTAGTTCCTATGCCCACTACGAATAAAACGAAATTCCGTATTTCAACATGTTTCAAGCCTCAGAAGTTCCCAGACATCCTTTTCTGAGTCTGGTGTGATGCAATAATGTTTTAAATGTCATTTTAAAAAAATGGGCCAGGCTGCAGGGAAAGGACCATGTCACACTTTCAGCATTCAAGCCTCAAGGGCTCCGGGGCGCGAAAGGCTCTTACAACCGGTTAAGGACTGAAATGGGCTCCTCCTGCAAGACTCGCGGAACCCTACCCTGGGCCAGAAAAAGGCCAGGGGCGCGAAGCCAAGGCGGCGGGTTGGGGTTCTAGGTATCTAAAAAAGAGCGAAGCCGGAAGGCGGCGCCAGGGCTCCTCGCAGACCCCAGGGCCGCGGGACACTGCCAGCTCGTGGGTCACACGCACCCAGCCGACTCCTGGCTCCCACGTGCCGGCTGTTCCAGCACGCCCTCCGACCCGCAACCGGACCCTCCAGACATCAGACTCTGTGGTCTCCACCTCGGGTCTCCCACCTCAGGACGCAGTTCCGCGGCTTCCACCCCACCCCCTCCCCTCAGTCCCTCGCAGCGGCTCAGCCGTACCCACCCCAGGTTCTCTGAGTTCAAACAAGCAGCAGCTCGAACAGCGGCCCCGCCCCTCTCCTCCTCCCCTCGGTCGGAACCATAGAGACGTCGGCTGCAGGCCAGAGTGGCTTCAGACCTCAGCGTCCGCCGAGAGGACGCCGGGATACTGGCCCGCTCCAAGTCAGGAGGTGACATACGAGTACTGTTTGGTGCAGTGGGTAGATACCTCGTTTCTCCTCGCCCACCGTAGGCCCTGACCCCTAAAAAGGAAACTTTTGGGACGTCAGGCTGAGAGGAGGAAGGTGCCTTCTTAGTTTACTTTTGTCAAACTTGAGGATTCGTTTTTCAGTTTAGTCGGAGGCGTGCGGCAAACGTAGCTGCCGACATCCCTACGACGCACCCAAGTGGTGGCCAGAAAGCTGGTGACTGAGAAGTGGCCTCCCCGAATGCAAGGCATACACGCCTTACTGTCAGAAGCTTGAGCTAGGAGCCTCGGCCGTCGCCTCTCGAAGGTGTAGCGATACTGCCAACTTCCTTCCGCGAACCCCTCAGGGTGGGCAACGGAGCTTTTCACCAGACTGGGACCTCGCGACCTGGCTGACCGGCCGCTCCTCGGTAGCGCCTCACCGCCCCCTTGGGGATTTCTTGATAATTCTTTGCCACGATGCGGGCGGATGTTGTGGAGCTACTGTTTGTAGACCGCAGTAGCGTGACTAGAACACTTAATCATGACTACTAAATCCTTAGAAGTCGAAAAAGCAAGTCCATACAGAGTAGTCTGACCCTAATTAAATCGCGCTTACAAGATACAGTTTGTTTACTGGGACTTTGGCTAGGTCCCATCCCGTCTCTGCCTCAGAGTAGTGGTTGCTCTCTTAGCACCAAGGAGATACCAGCTTGACGTTTGACTCTAGGAAGCACGGGTCCAAAAGAAGAGGCCCAAGGAGGGACATTCTTCTTTCCCTTTCCTACTTACAGTTTCTCAAACCAAGTGTCAGATGGAAAGCAAGGGGTGGTATCATCGTAATTATATAGTTGACCATAGAAAATAAACTTCAATCTCAAAGCAAACTCCTAGGCCACCCCCAGAATCTCAGTTTCTCAATCATAGAACTCATTTCTTGTCACACTCTTGGTTCTTGGCCAATGTAAAAGACCCAACTGACAGGGAAAATTAAACACATTTTAACCCCCACATACCTTAAATGAGAATTTAAAGTATCTCTCAGCAAATGTATTTACAATTTTGAGTGCTTCTAGCCATGTTAAGGACAAATTTTCTCTTTCTGAATGCAGTAATTTGGCATTACCCTTTTGGCAGTGTGGTACAAGTCTTATAATCTAGGCCTTACGGAGCTATTGAGGAACAACGTAGATGGCTTCATGCAAACCCAGACAATGTAATAATAGTTCTTTTCTCTGTAGTCAGTCTACTGCCTGTAGATGCTTATTCATTTCTTTCTTTTTTTTTTTTTTTTTTTTTTTTTTGAGATAGGGTCTCCCTCTGTCACCCAGGCTGGAGTGCAGTGGTGCAATCATAGCTCACTGCAGCCCTGACCTCCTGGGCTCAAAGGATTCTCCAGCCTCAGCCTTTGGAGTAGGTGGGACCACAGGCACATGCCATCGTGAAGGTAATTAAGTTTTTTGTAGAGATGGGCATCTCGCTTATGTTGCCCAGGCTGGTGTTGAAGTCCTGGGCTCAAGTGATACCCCCTCCCTGGCTTCTCAAAGTGTTGGGATTACAGGCGTGAGCCACTGTGCCCAGCTTACTGATTCATTTATACAGTGTTCTCAGTGTGCCACAGAATGACTATGGAACTCAAGTTCTAGTGGAGGGTGTGAGCCACAACGAAACAAGGTATATTGTAATAAGTACTGTAAAGGAAGTAAGTGGGGTGATATAATAGACTTGGGAGACGCTAACTTTAGTCAGGTAGTATGGGAGGCCCTTATGAGGAAATGGTACTTCAGAATTGAAATGTGAAGGAATCCAGTGTCAGAGGAACTAAAAAAAAGGCATTGTGCCCCTTTAACTTAGTGAGATTATCATTCCTGATCTACACTCTTCTCCCCATTTTTCTCGTTTTCTCTGTTACTGCTTCCCTTTCATTTGAAAAGCCAGGTCTTTTATACAAATCAGAAAATTAGAACATTTCTGGTTGTGTTTGGTGTAATCTTGACGTCTTTACAGATATGTGGTTTTGTTCTTTCCTAATAGACAAGCTTATAATAGCACTTTTGGTGAGCTCATTTCTGTTAAACACTTTACAGCATAAATCTTTTCCTGTGTTCAAAAGAAAGTATCTGGTTCATGAGACAGTTTAGATACAGTCTTTCCCAAAGTGCCTGATTTTTAGTTTACAATGTTGCTTGTCTCCGTTTTTTTCAGATCTGGTTCTTGTCTCATAGCTCTATTGAAAAATACTTGGAGTAAAGGGACCAAATAGCAAGTGAAAAAATGCACAATTCTGCATATTTAAAAAAAAAGAGGCCGGGTGCAGTGGCTCACACCTGTAATCCTGTCATTCTGGGAAATGGAGGTAGGAGGATAGTTTGAAGCCATGAGTTCAAGACCAGCCTGGGCAAGATAGGGAGATTCCCGTCTCTACAAAGAATATTTTTAAAAATTAGCCAGGTGTGGTGGTGCATGTCTGTGGTTCCAGCTACTCGAGAGGCTGAGGTGGGAAGATCCCATGAGCCCACAAGTTCAAGGCTGCAGTGAGCTATGATTGCACCACTGCATTGCAGCCTGGGTGACAGAGCAAGACCGTATGTCAACAATAAAAACAAACAAAATGAACAAACCGGAAGATTAATAGTGAACGCTCCACAAGATAAAAACAGCAACAACTTTATAACATTACAAATTTTTTTCTCATAAATCTGAAATAAGAATTAAATGGGAAACAGTTCAAAACTTCAAGATAGTTATTAATAAAATACAAATACATTTTAAAAATGTACAAGTTAAATAAAAATACCTTCAAAGTTAAATGTCAGTTCTTTCACAATCATTGTGTAGGGGTAATATGTACAATATCTTGGCTTACTAGTAATTTTATACCAGTCACTTGAAACAACATCCTTAAAACTTTTAATAATATGTTGTAATAATTCCATTTTTCACTTTTTAGAGTTTGATAGAAGACAGTCAATATCATGAAGGATTTCAGAGGTTTTTTTCAATGCTATTGATACTCTGTTTTCATTAACTTCTCCTAGCAAGGTTTCTGAAGATCCTGGTTTATAATGATCAGAAGACTGTTCATTTTTCTTGTTAGAAATCTGGTTTAGGATACCACTATTCTCTAGTAGCACTAAGTTGCTTAGTTAAGGGGGTTTTCCCCACATGTTTCATTATATAAATATCTTTATATTCAGAAAGCATAGCCTTCATATTAAATATTTCTCAGCTGGAAGACCTCTTGGATTCATAATAGAGTTAGAACTGCAAGGCTTATCAAGTCTGCTCCTTGTAAATGAAGAAACTAGTTAGAGTCTAAAGGAGGGGGAAAGAGAACAGAGAGTGTATGTGTGTGTTTGGGTGGAAGTTTGGTGGTAAGGAGGAAATAATGAAAATCTCAGTAACATTTCTTTAAATGAAGAAATGATATGGGAATTAAAGAGTAGGATGATAGGATTATAAGGAATCTGTGTAGTGTCTATTTTTAATTTTAAAAGATTTAGAGTGAACAACCTGTTCACTACAGAACTTATTTGAATAAGATTAGAGCAAAATCACAAGAGAAAACAAATTTAGATGAATTGGGTGAGAATGAACAGAACGAAATATTTCATTAAAAAAAAAAGAGGTCTTATACAGCTATAATTTTATAATTATGTAAGTGAAAAAGTTTCCAAAGGAGACCTTAACCCTAATTAACTGTTCTTTATCCAATTTAAACTCAAAGAAAAGTATAAATGTTAACATGCTATACCTTTTATGGACAAGAACCATCTTAAATTACAATCTTAAGTATTTGCTTACTCAATAAAGGTTAGCAATATATTAAGTATAGATTAATATTCACAAAGTACTGAAGTCATGAATTAAGCCTAGAACGAAAGAGAGTAATTATGTAGGACAGTGCATTCTGTTTAAAGGATACAGTTAAACTTCTGTATCTTTTCAAGTTCAGAAGCAACAGACCTGTACAAGGAAAAAAAAAATTCATTCAGTTGTCTGATTCCTTTGTATTCATGATATTTCAAATAAGCATACCTTTTTTTTTTTTTCCATAAAGGTTAGAATTTTAAACGGAAGAACACAGACGAATTCTCTTTATGTTACCTTTATTTAGCAACAAATCAACTTGACTCAACTGATACTGAGTGCCTTTAAAGCTAGGTGAATAAAAGTCTACCCCTTGTAAATCCACTTCAAGGAATTTATAATCAAATATTGACATTTGAAGATAATGGGCCTTCCTGCTACTTCTTAGTACTAACCTACCATATACTCTACTTTCCTCCCTAAAGTTTACTCAAACTTTAAAAACCTATTAAAATCCCATTCCTTCTGTGAAAGAAGTGCTTTCTCCTTCCTTGAATTCCTATAGCATATTAATTAATCACATACTTATTTGTAATCTCTTCTCTTGAACTATTTAACTTCCTGCTTTTCCTACCTAGATTGTTTCTCTCAGAAGAAAGGATTTTTTATTTTTCTGTACTTGTGCATATATTAATACCTCGTTTATATGGAACTCTTTGGGAATGGATCGTATGGGAGATCCAAGTTTTTAAATAGTTGAATTATGTGTCAAAACAACCATTTTTAATTAAATTCTTTCTGGAGTAGACTACCTACTTATTTCATTGTTTTTTTTAAGCACCGAGGGTTAACATGATGAACATTAGTTCTTACCATGTTCTATGGAATGATAGTTGGGCAACTGGTATGGAGTAGAGGGCAAATATATACATCTCCAGCGGAACTCCTCAGTGTGTGTTCCTTATCCTTTTTCTTTTTCTTTTTTCTTTTTTTTTTGAGATGGAGTCTCACTCTGTCACCCAGGCTGGAGTGCAGTGGTGAGATCTCAGCTCACTGCAAGCTCCGCCTCCCGGGTTCATGCCATTCTCCTGCCTCAGCCTCCTGAGTAGCTGGGACTACAGGCGCCTGCCACCATGCCCGGCTAATGCAAGCTCCGCCTTCTGGGTTCATGCCATTCTCCTGCCTCAGCCTCCTGAGTAGCTGGGACTACAGGCACCTGCCACCATGCCCGGCTAATTTTTTTGTATTTTTAGTAGAGACGGGGTTTCACTGTGTTAGCCAGGATGGTCTCGATCTCCTAACCTCATGATCTGCCCGCCTCGGCCTCCCAAAGTGCTGGGATTACAGGCGTGAGCCACCGCACCTGGCCTCTTTATCCTTTTTCTTATCGAGTTAGAATGAAATATGAGCAACGGCATACAACTACAAACTGTAACTTGACTAGCTCTCTGCAAAATTAATGAAGACATTAGTCTAAAATATTCAAGTCACTAGAAAAATCTTCACAGTTCATAGTAGGGTGTGTGACTTGTCTGCTTTATTGGTTTTACTACAACAGATCACATGCACCTCCTTGTCAGCTTATACTCTTTTCCCTTGTACTCCAGCGTATGGATGGAGAATGAAAAGAAGTATTTCATAATTTTAAACATCTGTGGCAAAGAACTTGGACACAACTTACTCCAACAGTCAGCTGATTGTTCATTATTGCAAAATATCTTTTTTTTTTAAACCCAAGACACATTTTTCTGGGTGTAAGAAACAATAAAACCTTTAATGTTGTTGCTCACATAATGAACTTTTTATGAAACATGTACTATTTGTTGACTAAAAAGTTGAATAAGCTAATAATGGAGGGTGTGGTGGAAAAAAATACTAGAATACAACTTAGGTAGCTTTTTATTGTACAATCTTGTTTCTTCCTTCAAGCTATCCTCTTTGATAAGAAAAACCAAAGTGGAGATACCTAAGGCTTTATAAGGGGAATGGAGCTACTCCTCAGTTTCTTTATCTTACCTCTGCTGTTCCTAGTTGCTTTCACCTTTAGCTGCTATCACCAATCTCTACTTGCAGTTTTTAGCCTCTTCTCAGCTTTCATATAAAAAGGCTGATGATATTTTACAAACTGCGAGCTAAGCAATGGTGAAGGGACCAGTTTTATAGACAAGTACAATTTTCCTTCCATCACAACTGTTTTTTGCTAGTTGCTTTAGCACCTTTTCTGCTTCCAAACAGGCTACAGCTAAAGGATTAGGGATCTGCAAAGCTGGATCCTTAGATACCTGAGATATTCAAATAACACTTACTGATATGATTTGATTTGTTCTAAGAAATGACTTAGGAAAAGGTAACAAAAATAGGCTTAATGTTTACGTTTTGTTTCACTACACTATGTTAGGTCACCTCACAAAACTTACTTAAAAAGCTTCCTAAATTGTTCCTGATATCCCTGTCTTCCAATATATTCAGGTTAGACTCTCAGTGACACTAATCTTCTAATGACCTTTCTTCCTATATTTTCTATCTTATATTTTCACAAAAAGTTCCTATGAAGCCCAGTTCTAGTACCCTGCACACTGAAAAGCACACAGGAGGGACTAAAATACTTGCTTTATTTGATCGGCCAGTTAATTTGGGGGAAGTAACTAATATGACAGAAATTATTTAAAAATCAATTTTTTCTGAAAGCTTATGTTATTAAACCTTTTATTTCCTTTAACATTACTAAAAATTTAAGAATCCCCTTTAAATTTTTCCATGAAGTTTTCAGGATGAATTTGTCACATAAAAAGAGCCACTCATTTTCATGTTAAGTTTTCAAAGAAAGGTTTTCTTACCTTTAGGTAAAATAGAATATGATGAAATGTAATAAATTAGAAGTCTGATTAGAAATAAATTATTTTCATGCTTAGGCTATCAAAAATACTTTAGGAGTTAAACATATTCAAAACTAAGAAAAATTTTTTGGGGAAAAAACTCTCAGTTTACCATTTGACAATTTTAATTTTTTAAAAGTATTAGGTCTTCTAAACAGATTCAGCTTAAAAGAAAAATACCAATTTTCTTGGAGAACAGACGATGACAAATGAGTGGGTATCTCTCTGGGACTAGTCTGAAAAAAGTCTCAGTTTACCATTTGACACTTTAATTTTTTTAAAGTATTGGCTCTTCTAAACAGATTAAAATAAAAATACCAATTTTCTTGGAGAACAGAAGATGACGAATGAGTGGGCATCTCCCTGGGACTAGTCTGGAACAGTCTCCTGCACCATGATGTTACTGTTGTCACATATCTAAAGTGAATACATTAAAAGGAATACTTGAAAAATGAACTTGAATACATTATAAAGTTATAAACAAATGTAAAATCATTAAGACAATTTGGGAAAAAAGGATAAAGAAAAAATGTTACAGTGAAGCATTTACTGGGCAATTCACAAAATACTTTTCACTGGTCATAGAAAAGCCAAGTTTTTTCCATTATTCATCGAGAAGAAAATGATTTACTTATATTTTTGATTAATAAAAATGACATTTAAGAATCAAAATAAAGGTGATATGATATTTGGATTTCATTTAAAGTTCAATTTTAAATGTTCTAATTCTTTTAGTTTTTCAAAGTAAAATGTGTTTAAGTTTTATCAAAAAATGTCGACACATGATATGACTAAGTGAGCATTTGCTTACTAAAATTTAAACCAAAAAATGCCCGCTAATGCGTACACACATATGCTTGTATGCATATGTATAATTATATATAACTTACTAGGTATCTAAAACAAGTATCAAGTTTAATAAAATGATCTGAAATGATTGGCTGAATTAACAGAAAGGTTTGCTAAAGAAACTATCTTTTTTGAGGCAAATCATTAATAGCAATGAATAAGCACTTAGACTGAAACACAATAAAAACCAACAGAAAAATACATTCAAGAGGTAATAAAAAACAATTCTTTTGTGAATAGTCTCAAGTAGAATCACTAAAATGTCAAGACTATCACAAGTAGAATTACACTGTAACTAACAGATAAACCAAAAGAAAAAAAAATTCATAAAAAGCTGAAGAATCTTCCCCATTTTAAGAGTAATCATTGGGTAATTTTATCCACTTTATAGAAATATACACAATTTTAGTTATTTGTGGTTGCAAACCTTATTTCAAATTGGTTAGAGGATTAGTTAATTATTAACACAGCTGACCATATCTAACCTCCACAGCAAATCAGTATGTCTAAAACACATTTCATTTGGAAAAGTTACTTGAATACAAATGAAATGATTAAAGCTGACTCGAAAGCTGGCCATGGTGGCTCATGCCTGTAATCCCAGCACTTTGGGAGGCCAAGGCGGGCAGATCACCTGAGGTCGGGAGTTCAAGACAAGCCTGACCAACATGGAGAAACCCCATTTCTACTAAAAATACAAAAATTAGCCAGGCATGGTGGCACATAGCTGTGATCCCAGCTACTCAGGAGGCGGAGGCAGAAGAATCGCTTGAACCCAGGAGGCGGAGGTTGCGGTGAGCCAAGATCATGCCATTGTACTCTAGCCCGGGCCACAAGAGCAAAACTCTTGTCTCAAAAAAAAAAAAAAAAAAAAGCTGACTTGATCTATTTAGTTACACTAAACACAAGTACAACTCTCAACTCTGAAATGACTGAAATGCCTTCATTATTATCCACATGGAAAAACTAAAAATATATATAACATTTAAATAATGTTTATTGCTTCTTCTCTATTAGTTAAAAGTAAAACGTAAAAATAATTTTAAAAATTGCTTTTCAGTACCTTTCATATGGTTCAGGGTGTTCAATTTGAATTAACTGATCTTGTCCATCAGGAAAAGTTAACTTACACCAACCCAAGTTAAGACCTTGATTTACCTTAAGAAGTGGAAAGATAAGTTTTATCATTTTAGAACTGAAAACAAAAACACAAACAACCTATTCTAACTTCATTAACTTAAATAAGTAGAGGAATCATTAAAGATGCAACAATTTAAATGTTGTTTACATGAGATATGGGTGTTATTTAACCACCACTCATATAGGTAATTATCAAAACAAATGAAAATATTAATCCCTTTCTCTATAATCAGTTATCTTTAGAAAACTATTTGTCAAGTCATTCTGATATTTGCTAGGAAATCCAAAGAGATCAGTAAAGCTTCTTGACAGATTTTATACTTCAAAAAATGAACTGAAATAGTGTGGTACTTTATTTTCTTTGTTCTCTTTTCCACAGATAACCAGTAAAAAATAGATTTCAGTCTGAAGTATACCCACCTGTCTCTTCTCAATAGGAGAGCTGAAATTCCAATTTAGGGTTAGAGTAATGCCATCTAAAAAGATAGCATGTACTTTGTCATCAGAGTAGGCAAGAAATCTTCCCACGCTGGGTATGAGTGACTCTTTCAAAACCGAAGGCAGTATATTGCTATCATTTATCCCAGTTACCTAAAACCAAGTAAATAAAAATAGCAGGAAATAGAGTTATCTAAGAACAAGATTTAAATGAATATTAATGACTCTGAGGCAATTTCGGGTACTTATTCAGAAGTCGAATATTGTAAAATCCTTATATTTTAACTTTTCCAGAAGTGAATACCAAAAACAGTATTTTTTTCAAGCAGATTCAGTTCTAATATCTTTGTAAAGTCACTGTTCTGCTCTGAACTTTACATCCAATATAGACAAAAATTAGGAGCTTATAGATTTGTAATTAAATATATATACAGAAATCAAAGTCTGAGAATCACTTCCTCCAAATCAGCATTAAGGAATTTATTTTTACAGTTATGAAAATATAGAATACTATAATATCATGGTTTATAATGATTTTTACATACTTCAAATCCAGTCAGTTCCCCTATCCTTTCCTCTTCACGAAAAACAAAAACAAACCATATACAATAAAACTGTAACATTAAAGCCTGAACTTTCAGTGTTTGTCTACTAGGTAGGTATTTTTCTGAATAAACCAACATTAATGTTACAAAGAATTTCTCACATAACTTAGAGGAAAGCTGTTTGAACTCAGAAGTATGGATACAAACAATAAAACAATTTAAAAAATCTTGCTTTTAAAATAATTTTAACATACCATTTTCCAGCAGCATATACGATAGTTATGGCTTAAAGAAAGTCTCATCTTCACACAATGTTGAAGAATTCTGTGAACACGAAAACTACTACTTAAACATTTGCAAATGACATTTTCCAATTCTAGCAACCCATTTTCACTGCCATACAACATTTTAGATGATCTGTAAATCATTTCCACTGAAATGTGTTGGGAACTCTTTTTTCTCAAGAAATCCTTAAGACCCTAGAAGGGAACTACTGTTGCTTCCCTTTGTGATAATCTTACCTACTTAAAGCTATTCCTCTAATTTTTAGCAATGAAATGATTCCATGGACAGAATTTTCAGGAACTCCTTTTTAAGAGGTGATAGATTCACACCACCTGGAAAGTTTCACATAGCCTAAAAATGGCAGGGATGTGAATCAACTATCCCTAGGAAATCAAATTATAGAATATGCTTCTTCAAATCTATTTTGGAAATTGCTCGTACATAAGTTTATAAAAAGAAACAATACAACAGTCCACTTGCATTCTGCTGGGTGTCTCAGATTGAGAGAATTTTAAAAACATGAACCAAAGAACCAATCTATGCTTTATCATACTCTCAGAAATCTATTACTCTGAAGATAATAAAGAAGTATAAACATATTAAATATATCATCAAATCTCCAACTTGATTTCAAGGAACAATAATGATGCCACACTTACGCAGAGAAAGAGCACTTACTTCCTCTCAGCACTTGCTCACTATATATGGATATTTCTCCATATTTAAATTACAAAGCCGGAAGTACTCTTAATAAATGACATAAAAATTACCTTATTTTATAAGTTATGACACCAAAAAAGTTGACAAATTTTACTGAAGGCATATATTTCCATTGTACCTGCCAATTCTTAATCTCATCCTTAATCACAAGAAAATGTGCCAAGATATTTACACACATAACATTTGATTCAATTGAATGGGAAGAACTTACCTTGTTGCCTGTTTAATTAGAGAACCGACAGAGAATGGACTTCCTGGTCTATCTGGAGGAAGGTTATTTACTGAGTAAGTTTTCTCTTCTCTCTGAAAATTAGTTAAAATGAAAAATTTCATTAATAATAAATTTTTGCCTTTATTACTTAGCTGTTTTTCCTTGAAATATGTTTTTACAATAGTGACGAGTAGTTACTTTAACAAACTGAAGCCCATAAAACCATGGTATTTTATGATGCTTTTTCATTTTCCCATTTTTTTAAAATATAGAATTACTCCTATTCATTTGAAAGTTATTATTTTATTTTATTTATTTATTTTTGAGACAGGGTCTTACTCTGTTGCCCAGGCTGGAGTACCATGGTGCGATTACAGCTCACTGTAGCCTCTGTGGCTCAAGCAGCCTTCCCACCTCAGCCTCCCGAGTAGCTGGGACCACAGGCATATGCCACCATGCTGGGCTAATTTTTTAAGTTTTTTGTAGACGCGAGGTCTTTCTATATTATCCAGATGAGTCTCAAGCTCTTGAGCTCAAGGGATCCCAAAGTGCTGAGATTACAGGCATGAGCCACTATGCCTAGCCCAAAAATTAAATTCTAACAACTTATAACTTATTATGCAATTTAAATATTAGCTATATTTACATTAATATGGTAACCAAACTAATTTTCCTACACATTAGCAGGAAATTTATCATGAACCACTCCTTTCCCTTAAGACAAAAAGAAATGGCTATATAGATTAAAAAAAACTATTTTAATTGAATGAATATACCATTTTGCTACATTAATGGAAGAACTATTGCTATAGTTTATGGAAGAAAAAATTATTTACAGGCTGAGGTTACTGAAATTAGAAAAAAATTGTTATTTTAAAATTCTTTCTGAATTTCCTCTTCCTCAGACTTGCTAGTGTTTTCCAGGACTCCATCTCCAGCCTTCTCTTCCAACTTGTTGATTTCTTTTTAGATAATCCTAAAAGGGTCCAAAGCTGTGTTCACATAAAACATCATAATAGCAACAGCTAACATTTGTGGAGCAGATGCTATGTGCTAGGCACTATCCTACTCACTTTACATGGATTATCTCCTTTGTTTCTTAAAATAATTCTGAGATAACTATTAATGCTTGTTTTTCAGATGAGAAAACTGAGACTGAGGGCTAAGAAACAGTAGAGATCTGATTTAAACCACCAAAAGAGTACAGCTCATACTCTTTACCATTAGGGGAAGAAGATGGGCTTCAAAGTCAGACAAATGTGGATTTAAATCACAGGTTTGCCTCTTACCAACTATAATGATGGGCAGGCTATACAACCTTTTGTAGGCCTCAGTGCCTGCAGCCTGTGAAATGGGGATACTGCCTACCATCCAGATTTATCTGAGGATTAATGATATAATATACATATAAAGTTCCTGGGACAGAATTTAGCATATAATATGTTCCAAACAAAAGTCTCTGTCCTTTTATCTGACTATCTAAATCTCTATTGGGCTTCTCTTTTGGCTATCAAAACAGACATCTCAACATCACTATGTTAAAACTGGAATTAGTGTTATTTCAAAATTTGCACTTTCACTTTCCCTACGCTGTATTTACCTTTGGTATGCCATTTATCATGTTGTTCCCTCTACCTAGAACTCAGTTCCCTCCTCCCTCACCTCCGTTTGCCTGGCTAACACCTGTTTTTCCTTCTGTCTCAGGGAAGCCATTGCAGAGGTCCCATAGACTAGAAGGAATTCCCTAGTTATGTCCACAAGCACAGGTCCCTCTAATCCTGCCTCTTGGTCTTAATTACAACTTCAGTTTAATAGTTTTTTACTTAATGTCTGTTTTCCCTGTTAGAATACAGCTCCATGAAGGAAGGGGCTGTGTCTGTTTTGCTCATGTCATTTATTAGCAGAGTGCTTAGCACATGGGAGGCACTCAGAATACCACATTTTAATTATTTATGTCTTTTTCTACTGGATATTGAGTTCCCTCTGGGTTCTAATTTCCATGACCCTATTTCATCAACTCTAAAATGTTTATTTTTCACAATTTAACCTCTCTGAAATCTGGATCCATCTTACAATTAAGAGTGTCTTATAATCTATTAGGCAGGTAGGGTTGAGACATAGTTGAATTTTAATAATCTCAAATCCTTCTTTACCTGACATCTCATGGTAGGCTCAAAAGAAAAAAAAGCCATCATCAAAAAAATTTAGATTTGATAAAAATTTTGGTTTCACACCAAAAATTGCACCACCATTCACTGGTTTATTAATAATTTGGCATCGCTTTCAACTCCTTCCTCATCCTCAGTGTCCAGTCAGCAATCAGTTCTGTCTCCTTAATATTTCTTTCCATTTTCCCTACCACTGCCTGGCTTTCACTTGAACTATTATACATGTCTTCTGACTGGTTCTACAGCTTCAAGTTTTACCTCTTTCCCACTCCGTTCATCTTCCTCTGAAATAATCTAACAAAAATCTGATGTCACTTCCCTACTTGAAATCCTTCAGTGGTTCCCCAAATGCAGTGAGGTTTCTCATGCTCTAGTTATGAGCTGGCTATCTTAGTAATCTGGCTTCTTCTGTGGACATTTCCCCTAGCATCCCATCTATGTTTTGGCCTACCAAACTACAACATTTTCACTTCCTTCAACACTCCACACTTGCCCCAGGCTCTTTTGTCCAGTTCGGTGCCATTTATAAACTGTTCTAAGAACCAGCAATAATAATGTGTTGAATAAGACAGGGCTTAACTCTAGTGTGGCTGACAATGAACATACATCATTAAGAAAATGTCACCCAATATTCAGTGCTTTGAATAAAAAAGATGAGGATGTCATGATAGAGAGTGTCTTGGGTAGCTTCTTTAATTTGAATAGTCAGGAAAAGCCTCTGTGAGGAGATGACATTTAGATAGAAATCTGAGTAACAAGAAGCCAGCCATGCAAAGGGTTGAGAAAGTAAATTGTTCCCTTAGCTATATGCTCCTCCTACCTCCATCTGTCTTTTGTACAACTCCTCCTTTGGAATTATAGATCCTAGCTTAGCTAAGTCTTCCTTCAGGAGTTGTTTCTGGAGCCTCAAACACTGGGTCAGGTGCCCTTTCTTATGTAGTCCCAAAGCACCAAGTTCTTGTCTCTATGGAAGTACTTACACTGTGAGTACTTGTCAATCTTTCCTATTTCAATTTTTAATTACACAATAAATAATAAATTACGTTTTTGTTAAAAAAAAAGTTCAAAAAGTATGAAAATTTCCTCTCAGACTTCTCCTCCCTCACAAAATCCCACACTCCTTCCCAAAGGTAGCTACTTCAGTGTGTATTTGCCCAGGATCCTTTCTTGTCCTTGTGCATGTGTATTACAGAAAGTACTATACAGGTATGGGGTTTATTTTTTGTCCTTTACACAAAAGATATCATTGTACGTGTTCTAACGCAAGTTTCTTTATTCACTCAACAATATCTTTGAGATCTTCCAGAATCTATTACTCTATGCATCAACATCTACCTCATTCTTTTCAACTACTGCACACCATTCCCATAATTTGATAATAACACTTCACCATTTCCCTATTAATGAACATTTATTTAGGTTGCTTCTGATTTTTTGTTGCTACAAATAATGCCACAATACACACCCTTTGCCATGCTTCTTTGAACACATGTGCAAATATTTTTCTAGGCTAGATACTGAGAAGCAGAATTTCTCATCAGTTTCATTTGATGTTATCAAATTGTCCTTTAAGAAAGCCGAACCAATTAACACTCCAACCAACACTATGAAAGCACGCCTTTTCCCACACCCTTCCCAGCAGAAGATGCCATCAGTCTTTTTAGTTATTGACAATTTGGTAAGGGAAAAATGCATGTGATTGATTTTTTGCATTTCCCTGATGCAAGTAGTAAAGTTGAATATGTTTTCAAATATTATGACTTTTTAATTTACATTATCTTTTCTACGGCTAAATCCATTTTTACCCTTTGCCCATTTTTCTATTAGGATATTTTGGGTTTTTTGGTCTATTACTGATTTACAGTGTGGAATATCTTCCAGGCCTTTGCTTATCTTTTTAACAGAAATTCTAAATTTTTTTTTTAATTAAAAAAATTTTTTTGAGACAGAGTCTTGCTCTGTCTCCTAGGCTGGAGTGCGGTAGTGTGATCTTGGCTCACTGCAACCTCCGCTTCCCAGGTTCAAGCGATTCTCATGCCTCACTTTCACAAGTAGCTGGGATTACACACATGCACCACCATGCCCAGCTAATTTTTGTATTCTTAGTAGAGACGAAGTTTTGCCATGTTGGCTGGGCTTGTCTCGAACTTCTGGCCTCATGTGATCCACCAGCCTTGTTCTCTCAAAATGCTGTGATTACAGGCATAAGCCATTGTGTCCGGCCTAAATATTTATAATTTAACATAAGTTTGAAGATTTCAAGCTTGTCAAACTTTTCTTTTATGCCTTCTGGTTTTCTGTATTCTACTTAAGAAGAATCTCCTTTACCCAGAGATTTTAAACATTGTTCTATATTTTCTTCTAACACTTACAAAGTTTGGTTTCTTACATTTAGCTCTTTAATTCATCTGAAATTTATTTTGGAGTCTGGGTTAAAGTAAGGAGCAAACAACTTTATCCCCAAAAGAGGGTCAATTGTTTCTAAATCTTTGCACTAAAGCAGACAGAGAAGGGTGAATGTGTTGCACACAGAGGTTGGAGAGTGAAGCCCAAGGCAGTCCACCACAAACGCATTTTAATCCAAAAGCTCACGCTTCTACTCGATATATTTGCCTTAGTATAAAAATTATCACCCCCTCCCGCAACAGCTTTGAGTAGAATTGAAGCTCCAGGAAGATACACTCCTCTTATCTTGCAATTTTGCAAACCCCCTGATACACAGCAGTCAGCAATGTGACTATGCATACCTACTCTGTTTGCTTGCTCACTTGATTGATGTACTATATACACACACATATACACATATATACATATACATGTTACTGGGCACACTTGTATCTCATTTGCTTGTTTGCTTCTCTAACTGAACACAAGACTGTGAACTCTTGAGGGCAGGAACTCTTCTTCATCTTCATCTTTGTCAGTGCTTACTGGAGTGCCTGCCAAAGAGTTACTGTTCAAATAATATTTATTTACTAAATACTTTCCTAGAGATAGGCCCCAGTTAGGAATCTGTTCCAATATATACTAAAGTATTTATGAATAAAACAATATTTGTTTGGGATTTACTTAAAAATAAACAGGGAGTGGAGGGAGCAGCAGGAAGTATAAATGAACAAGATGGGTGATGGGTACATAGAGGTCCATTATATTTGTCTACTTTTATATATGTTTGAAATTTCCATAGTTTAAAAAAATCTCAATTTTTAACTCTACTCCCTAGGGATTCTAATAATCTGATTAGTATTTAAATACTCCACTCTGTAATGAAGACAGAAAACATACTTATTTTGTTCTAGCATGCAAAGTAGTGTGATACCATAGTGATTGCTATGCAAGGGTGGATGTCAAATATCCGAGTGGCAATAAGCAAATTAAAACTCATTAACAAAATATTGACATTATTAAGACTATGATCTGGTAATTATATCATATTATGTTTCACTGTTTTCAGCAACAGAGAACAATCTTGTTCAACTGTCTAGTTGTACATAAAGATTTAGAAGTTAAGAGGTGCTTAAAATACACAATTACATGGTGGGGAAAAAAGAATGTGCTTTTGCTTTTTAATGTACAAATATTAATTCAAAGTAGTGTATTAACTCAAAGTAATGCTCCTGGTTTCAGCATTTTCCATCGATAAAGTCTACGACAAAAGAAAGTTTCTGATTTAAACGCGAACTGCTTAGGCAAATGGAGATAGCAGGTGAAAATACAGTAAAAATAAGGTGGTTAATAATTACTGTACCAATGCTGGCAGTAAGATTATATTGACTGGGGAGTAGGAAGCAATGTTATATAATGACCAAATTTCCCATACATATTTGGAATTATTTAGAAAGAGCTATACAGCAAAACTCTTCTTGAGTTGAGTTCATTGTTGGCTTACCTCTTCTGATCCTTCTGGAATGGAATAATATGTAAAATATTTCCCAAAATAAGCCCCTTCTGATTTGAAAACAGATCCATCTCCAGGATAAATCTCTATTGAGTTCATATTTTGATGGGTAAGTCTAAGAAAGAGAAATAACCATTAAAATTTTTTTCCACTTGAGATTAAAACATGCATGAAGATAGCCATCAAAAAACAGAAACAACAAAATCTAAGCAAAGAAGTACAGTCTTTTTCCCTGTCCAATGAAGCAGATAATTTCATATTCTGAACCCAACCAGCTAAGTTAACTTTTTCACAAAAAGATAAATAGAATTGGTTTATGCATTTATTTCAATAACTAAACTAAGAGCTTCTGGAATTCAGGCATTTTGTCTTATCATCTTCTTGATATCCCCACTGCTAATCACAAGGCTGGCATATAAGGGTCACCAAAGCAAAGTCTATTGCATAGGAGTTAAATACAACATTTCCAGAGCCTGAAAATAAATAGATTAATGAAACTAGTGGAATCAATACTTTATGGATAAGATTAGCCATCTGTACAAGGGGCTATCCCTAAGAAAAGGTGGCTGTACCTGGAGCACCCAGGTAAAATCAAGGTACTGGGTATATAACACATAGAAACTTAATCCAAGTTAATTTTATTAACATATATGTTAGAATATGTTGTTGGAAGGAATAGGTCTAGGTCTTCACATAGAAAAGGAGAGCCCCCTCTCTCTCCAAAAATTTAGCAGTGCTCTTCTAGCATTATTCATGGAAGTGAAACTCTCAATCTGGCTAACACTAGTATTCTAGTCACTAGAAGGGTGTCCTTTGTTGTGGGGTAGGGATAATTCAGTGGAACAGTGCTGGCACAGAGCGGCCACTCAATGAGCATTTGCTTTGTCAATGAAGGCTAAAAATCTCCCTTAGGTGATCTACCTTCTCTAATTCCATGCTCAAGCAATTCTGTTTTGACTATTTCAAACAACTTGATCCTCCAGTGCTTAGAGGGGGTATCCTAAATAACTGATATGAATGTTACATTCACTAGCAAACCGATCCCTCATTGGCTTTGGAGGTACCACATAAGTCTTATAAAAATGGTTAATATGAGTGAGTCACAAGACCCTCATGTGCACTAATAACATTAGTTTTGAGACCTGTAAAACTCAGGATCAAACACAGGAGCACAGCTGGCCCAGCAGAACTGTGTCCTCTTCTGAGAGTCTATCTACAAGGCTAGTCCAATCTTCTCTGTGACATCAATAAACAGCTCTAACTCCAACACAGGAGCCAACATCGATGTCTTACCTATATGTAACACCTTTGTACCAAACCATTCTTACTTGTTCAGGATAGGAATATTCATCAGATTGTCTCTGTAAAAGTGAATCCCAAAAATTCCACCTGTGAAGGATAAAATACAAGCTATTACTTCTGGTTGCTCAATATAATTGCCTTTAGAAGTCAACAAAATGGTGCTACTGTAACAGGATTAATTTCTTGTTTAACTCGCTATATCAAAGAATAAAAATTAATATGAAGGTATATTAATGAAATGTAAAAGCAAGTCTTCTTTTTCCACGTTTTTTCAGTATTTTCAATAATCTTATTATTGAATCTCAGCACAATTACATAAATTAACAGTTTAACTAACATTTACAATTTAGCCTGGATTCCCTAGGCACGGTGGCTCATGCCTGTAACCCCAGCACTTTGGGAGGCCGAGGTGGGCAGATCACGAGGTTAGGAGTTCGAGATCAGCCTGACTAACATGGTGAAACCCCGTCTCCACTAAAAAATACAAAAATTAGTTAGGCATGGTAGCATGCGCCTGTAATCCCAGATACTCAAGAGGCTGAGGCAGAAGAATCGCTTGAACCTGGGAGGCGGAGGTTGCAGTGAGCCAATATCGTGCCAGCCTAGGCGACAGAGTGAGACTCCATCTCAAAAAATAAAAAAAAACAATTACTAAAATATCTATGGTGGGCCAAGCACTATGCTATACACACTGTGGATATAACAACCAAAAAAAGGAGACATGGTCCCTGCCCTCAGCAGGGACGTTAAATAATAAAACATTGAGTATAAAGAAAAGGCAAGTACTGTATGCTATGGAATTATATAAGACTTAACTTGTTTAGGGTCTTCAGGAAAACCACTCTAAAGAAGTTAGGTTTTAGCTGAAACCTGGAAATAAGCACAAGTTTATTTGTGCTTATTTCCAGTAGACAGTTGAGAGAGAGAAAGGGAGAGTGCTCCTGCAGAGTAAAGAGTAGGTGCAGTGGTCAGAGAGTGCTTGAGCAAGCATTTTAGGGATTGCTGAAGTCCAGCTTAGCAAGAATAGAGAAAGCAAGGGCAAGAGTAGTGAAAGAGTTGAGGATTACAGATATAGGAAGGGATCAGATCACAAAATACCTGGTAAGCTATGTGAAGGATCATAGATTTCAACCTAAACATAGTGATAAGTTATTGAAAAATCATTACTTTTGAAGCATAATTCCCTTTTGATGTGTACTCATAATACTTTTCTCATTTTAACCAGATAATCGTGACAAGCCTAACAGTCATTCCCATATTTTTGTTTTAAATAACAAATGTATACTCAGAGATTGCCTGGGATCAAATCTCAATTTTACAAGTACTAGCTATGTACCTTTCCTCAAGTTATTTAACATTTCTGTGTCTCAAGTTCCTCTACATATAGGGATGATACGTCTTTTAACTTCACGGGGTTGCTTTGAGAATCAAACGGGTAAAGTCCAAAAGTACCTGGCACGTAAGTGTTTTGGAAGTGTTAGTTATTATTATTACTACACTATTTATGCAAAGTTGATGTTACAAATCTACAATCCTTAGTGGAGGTAAAAGTTTTATACTTAGCCTTACAGAAGCTGCTCCATGTGTACCCATTTTGAAAATAACATATTTATAGTCAGTGAACCAAAGAGAGGGGTAGCCTCTGAAGCTAGGTATGGACAAACGAACTGTGTCGGATCCACACTCCAGCAAGCAAGGTCACGGGCTCCAGTGAGCAGCAGCAGGTGCTCCCCTGGGCCCACAGAGCCCTGTGCGGACTCCTGTCCCATCATTTAGCATACTTTAATAATCTTTTTAGGTACAGTGACCTCCACTAGATTCTAAGTTGCTATAAAGCAGGGACTGTGTCTTAGTCATCTCTGCAGTCACTGGACTTAGCACAGTATCTAATGTAGAGTCAGCCTTCTACATTCAATGCATGGACACAGAGTAAGAAACATAAGCAACACATTTGCTAAGCAAATTATTTACTATCAGTTAAAAGCAAAATTTTGGATGAGATAAACTTTCCTTATGAATGGTATCAGATAAAATTATCCAGGTAAAGACTGGTTCTGATAAAAGCTTCATGACTAATAGCCATTATTGCATTACCTGTGCAGGTGTGGAACTGGACAGCTGAGTGGCAGGGCCCTGGGAAGAACAGAAACCACTTTTCCTCTTTCCTCTGAAATATCAGAGGTTAAACATCTACTCTGAGTTATATGTGCATCAATTTTAGACATATTGTTGATTTTCTTATGAAAATGAAGTGCTAAAGACAAAGGATATTTCCATTCCTCTGGACAGGCAGCCACAGACCAGCACTGCTTGACCCACGTGTATACACATGTGTGCTTTGTACCAGGCAAAGGCAGCTCTTCCCTCCCTTCAGTTCCATTTACACAACTCATCTTCTTTAAAGTTTCTTTGGATTTCATGATCTGGCAATGAAGCTCATTTTCTTTATTCTTCAGTCTCTGTCCTGATAAATTTCCATGTATACAGATTTTGCCAGCTTTTTCAACTAGTTTATCTTTTGGGGCTTTATTATTTGTTTCTGACAATGCTGCAGATGAGTCTGACTTCTGGCTAACTTTACACAAAAAATGTACTGTAAATTCATGCTGAGATCTGGGCAGGCAGAGGTATGCATGACCATCTAAAGATGTTATCTTCACAATGCCACTCTCCATACATATCATGGTACCATCTGTATCAAGACTGGGCCATCTCACTTCTGTGATGTCAATGAAGATATGCTGAAATGAGGGGGGAAAAAGAGATGGTGAGTATTTTCTGTTAACAGTCCAATTTTTCCATACATTTGATATTTAAGAATTGTGTAAGAAAGCTCTTAAATATTTGTCTTTTACTATCTAGAGAGAATGAAAAAATGGAGGACCAGATCTCAGCCTATATATGATTTTCCAGAGAATATGAGATATTGTTAAGATTATCTCCCTTAAAAAAAAGAGATGTAAAACACACAGACACAAAATGAGAGAAATGATCATATTTAGTGTTAAATGTATTTTGGTTTTAAATGTACAATGAACTAGAGATAAACAGATTTGTACCCCTCCCCTCACCCTGCAAAAGTTTACTCTGAAAAAAACTAGAAATAAGGGAAGACCAGCACTATGATATATTATATTAAAAGCAATGTTAGCTAAAAATGTTTAAGTTTTAAATAAAAGAAATAAAAAAAAGCAACCATAGCTTAAATGGTATGAGACTAGCATAAAAATTATTGACAGAACAACTCAGAAAATTCAAAAACAAACTCAATCATATCTTAAAATGTTATATGCAATAACATAAGTTTTTCAGAGCAAGAGGGAAAAGAGAAAATTATTTCAACTAGTACTGGAATTACTGAACAGCATTTGGGGAATTCTGTCTTGCAGGGTTATCGCATGGACTAAATAAGGCAACATGTATAAAGTACCCATCCCAGGTAGTACCTGGCACACCATACACTAAAATAAATTTCAGAAGGCTTAGAGGAAACTTTAAAAAAGTTTAATTACTCAAAGAAAAATTGATTCTGACTAATAACAGACTCATAACAAGTAACAGTGTTGGTTGTGTCTTTTCATACAAGATATAAACAGTAGATACTGCATGAGAGTTTTTTACTGAATTAATTTTGCCAAGCATTTAGCATTTCAATTCCATTTATGTAAAACCTTACATTTACACAAACTATTGTCAAGAAAGTTTCCTAAATTTACCATGCTATCTATGTGTACAATGTTAGGACACTAAAATTGCTGTATTTATTGGCAGCAAAGCTGGTTTGTAAGGATCCAGTCATCAAAGTCCTCTTTTAGAATTAGACTATCTAATAATCCTGCTGCAGCATCAACAACAAGCTAGGCAGTTTCAGTGAATAAAGTGACTCAAAAGACACAATGGAAAATTATCCTTCTAGACTAAGTGACAACTTATAATTTTTTATGGCTCCTTTGCCACAAGACAATATAAAATTACTCAGTCGGCAGGCCAGCATCTTGACAGCATAGAAAGACAGCAGAAAGTAGTTGAGAAACAGAGTTTACAGAGTCAGATAGACTAGGTTCAAATCCTGACTTTGCCACTTAGAAAACTGCCATAGACAAATTAGGTAAACTCTCTGAGACATAATTTCCTTGTCTATAAAAAAAGCTGCCATCTAGCCAATATACCTGTTCTGATTGGATGGACATCCATTTTGATCAGTATGGTGTTATTAAATATTTCCAGTATTATTCATAGTTGATGGACATAGTAAACCCTCAGTAAATTACAGTTGTTATTATTATTCCTAAAAATCCAAATAAAATGCTATATAAGCAAAATAATAAAGGTCATACCCATAGTTACAGATCTCTACTATACATTAACAAATACCACACTGTTACTGAAAATGGTCACATAATTTCTTAATTTTGAGACCTCTGAGAATGAAAAAGTCACCAATCTAAAAGATTCTGATTATAATCTTGGATACAAAGAAAATGGCAAGGGGATAAACTATGTAACTTCAATGTTTTATAAAAATGTATCCCCAAGTGTCCTGAAAAAGAAAAAAAGGCTAAACATTAAATTACCTGCTTCTAGTTACTTGTCCTCAAATAATACTAACAAAAATGAAGTTAAAAAAATCACCTTTTTTCTTTCAGAAGGTATGATGGTTTCAGATAAAAAAGGGTAAGTAGCTGAAGAGTTTCGAAAATCTAGGGCTCGCTGTAGTTGCTCCTATGAAAAGAAATATAAAATGTAACCTTAATGTAAAATGATTTGAAAATCAATTAAAAATGACAGTACAGTATAATCTATGATACTAATTACTTTTCATATTCTAGCCACGTCAACAGTAATTTGGTATTCAAAGAGTAGTTTTGGCCAGGCATGGTGGTTCACACCTGTAATCCTGGCACATTGGGAGGCCGAGATGGGAGGATTACTTGAGGCCGGGAGTGTGAGACCAGCTTGTGCAACATAGCTAGACAATGCTCTACAAAAAATTTAAAAATTAGCCAGGTGTGATAGTGCACGCCTGTAGTCCTAGAGTAACTTGCTTGTAAAAGGAGGTTGAGGCAGGAGAATCACTTGAGCCTAGGTGTTTGAGGCTGCAGTGAGCTATGGTAGTGCCACTGCACTCTAGCCTGGTGACAGAGCAAAAATCTGCCTGTAAAAACAAAAAAGTTTTTATGCGATATCTTTACTTACTCTGTAAGTGCTAATGACAAAATGTGTCCTTTGACGAATTCTTTCTGGTTGTTCTAAAGGATGTGCTGAAACAGGAGGTGACTTTTCAAATAAAAATTCAGAGCCACAGGGAGAAAGTTGCAACGTGGAACCATCAACATATTGTACTTGTACTGAATCATCTTCATAAAGTACCATTCGCAGTTCGGCTGCCATTACTGTGGCAGAATAAGATGTCCTTCTAAGTCAAAGACTGAATGAAATAGGAAACACAATAGCACAAATAGTTCTCTTAATGTACAAAAGTTTTATCAAAATAAATCGGTGCATTTTCCAAGATGATATTGCCACTGCATTTACTTTCGTTAGAAAAATACTAACTACACTTGATAGATCTGAAATGAACATCCTTAACAAAATGCCTTAATTAACCCCTAGAAGTTTACTCCATATGGAGGAACATAACCAAGAAGAGATAAAGCGATAACTGTCTTTATAATTTTAATAGCTTCACTTCTACTGAAATTTAAATTTTGTAAATTATATGCTTACCATTTAGAAGCTTATAATTTCTAGAAGTTTACTCCAATGCAGGTACATAACCAAGAACAAATTTAATTTTTTTTTTTTTTTTTTTTTGAGATGGAGTCTCGCTCTGTCGCTCAGGCTAGAGTGCAGTGGCGTGATCTTGGCTCACTGCAACCTCCACCTCTCGGGTTCAAGCGATTCTCCTGCCTCAGCCTCCTGAGTAGCTGGGATTACAGGTATATGACACCATGCCTGGCTAATTTTTGTAATTTAGTAGAGACGGGGTTTCACCATATTGGTCAGGCTGGTCTGGAACTCCTGACCTTGTGATCTGCCTGCCTCAGCCTCCCAAAGTGCTGGGATTACAGACATGAGCCACTGCGCCCGGCCTAAAGAAATTTAATTTCCATAAGTTATATGCTCATTATCTCATTTCAAATTTCAAATAATAAGCAAATTCCACGTTTGCTGTAAGAATGCAGCAATTGTTTGTAATACAAATTCAAAAGACGGGCAGAAGGTAACTATTAGGCCTATGGGAAAAGGACCCTGAAGAAGAAATCCAAATACCTGGAAACCTGTCTCTACCCTAGCATTAAAGAAATAGCTCTTTATTACTAACAAGCAACTTAATCTCCTATTGTCTTGGATTTGTCCTTATTTAGCTGCATTCAATTTCCTCTTCTCTACCTCTAAAATACTGTCTTCACCTATGCTCTCCATATAGCAGTGACAGAAGGGGAATGAAAGAGTTGGGTTTCATTCACATCTTACCATTTACTAGCTAGCTATAAGTCTCAGGTTGTTCCTCATTTGTAAAATGGGAGTAGTAACAGGACTGTTGTGTGGATTAAATGAGAAAACAAACATGACAGTAACTAGCACTGTGGATGCTGCCTTGCAGGCACTCAATCAATCTTATGAAATGTTTTTATTCCTTTCTAACACTAACCCCATCCCCTTCTACATTACCCCTTCTACTACCCAGGTAATCCCAAGTTTTACCTGCCAGAAAAAAAATAACTTTCTATAGAAAACACTTCCACCACTTTATTCGTATTTCCTACTTATAAACAGCTCAAGTGCAGTATTCACTCACTACCAACCTTCTCTCCTATCTATCTTCAATCCACTGCAATCCAGCTTTCACCTCTATCTCTTTACTGACATTGTTTTGCAATGGTCACCAACGTCTTCTTACACCCAATGACTTTAGTCTTCATCCTACTAAACCTCATCAGCGTGTAACAGCACTGTCTACATTTCCTTGCGCCAAACTCTTTTCCCCCCAACATTGGGCTGCCAGTTTTCTTCTTCACTTCTACCTGTTTTTAATCATTCTTCTTCACTATTCCCTTAAATCAAGGATTCTTCAAGACCTGACCTTAGTCCACATTTCATCTCTTCTTAACACTCCTGTCATTTTTATGCCCCACCGTGTCTTTTTTTTTTTTTTTTTTTTTGAGACGGAGCCTCACTCTGTTGCCAGGCTGGAGTACATGGGTGCGATCTGGGCTCACTGCAACCTTCGCCTTCCGGGTTCAAGTGATTCTCCTGCCTCAGCCTCCTGAGTAGCTGGGACTATAGGTGCATGCCACCACGCTTGGCTCATTTTTTGTACTTTTAGTAGAGACAGGTTTTCAACATGTTAGCCAGAATGGTCTCGAACTCCAGACCTCGTGATCCGCCCGTCTTGGCCTCCCAAAGTGCTGGGATTACAGACGTGAGTCACTGCACCCGGCCCACCTTGTCTTTTTTTAACCTTACCCCTTTAATGTATGTAATCAGCTGTAGGTGATATCATCTGTAATCTTCTGAGGATATGACAGGATATAAGTAATTATTTAACCACATGGTCTCTCCTGAGGAGATTCACACAACTTTTAATTATTTTCTTTCTCTAGAGAACTTCTAAATGTACCCGACTTCTCACAGAGCTTTCAGGTGGCTGCCTGCTAGACTGCTCTCTATGTCCCTGTCCCATAGATAAATCAAACTCAACGTAACTAAAATGGAACTTAATCACTCCTACCAAAAGCAGGCTTCTGTAATATCCCCTAATTGCACTTTCACTCTCATCTCTTCCCTCAAATCCAGTCTGCACACAGTAGTACCCAGAGGGATCTTTTAAAATGAAAATCACATCTATCACTTTGTGGCTTAAAGCCCACCAATACCTTCCATTTCCACTTAGAATAAAATGCAAACTCCTAAAACTATGGCCTACAAAGGTCACACAATCTGGTCCTATCTACCTCTCCAAATGTCATTTCTCAACTCTCTCCTACTTCTACAGGGCACTTTAGATACATTGGCATTTTTAATGTTCTTTAAACAATCTCCCATCTTAGAATCTTTGCACTGTTCTTTCTGCCTGCCTTGTCGTTTCCTTGGCTCATCACAAGACTGGTTCTTTATCATCATGAAGGTTTCAGCACATATGTAACTCCTACAAGCGCCTAACAACCAACTAAGTTAAAGTTACTCCCAAACATCTCCCAATCATTTGTCATCCCTCTTCAAGTTTTTTCTTCACAGAATCTATCATCAAAATTGATTATTTATTTACTTGCTTTTTGTTTTCTCTCACTAGGATATAAACTCAACGGAAGCAGGCACCTTATCTGTCTTATATGCAACGGTATCTCTGGCATCTAAAATAGTTGCAAAGGGCCGAGCGCAGTGGCTCACGCCTGTAATCCCAGCACTTTGGGAGGTCAAGGCGGGTGGATCACGAGGTCAGGAGATCCAGACCATCTGGGTTAACATGGTGAAACCCCGTCTCTACTAAGTATACAAAAATTAGCCGGGCATGGTGGCGGGCGCCTGTAGTCCCAGCTACTCGGGAGGCTGAGGCAGGAGGGCACGAACCCGGGAGGCGGAGCTTGCAGTGAGACAAGATGGCGCCATTGCACTCCAGCCTGGGCGACAGAGCGAGACTCCGTTTCAAAAAAAAAAAAAAAAAGTATTAGGCAAATAGTAACGGCACAATAAATATTTGAACGACGAAAAGTAAGTAAATTGCTCCTCCTGAATTTGCAATTTGAATTAATGCTGTCTCATTGCTAGTAGCCAATATTCTAAAACTTGACTTTCCACTCCATGCCCCTGTAAACAAGTCCTGTTGATTTTCTGTCTTTGGAACCTGGCTTTCTCTACCTCTTTTTCTTTTTCAGGCCATAGACTCTCCCTTCAACTCCTGCAACTGTCTGAAATTTCTTCTCTCTCCAATCCATCTCCAGCATTGATGTCAAAGGTAACTTTCCACAAGTCAGACCATACCAACTGCTTTACATCACTTGTTTACGTACTTATCAAATGGCAATATAGATTACAGATATATAAAAACACACACGTATATATCGGATATGTCTACTTGGTATTTTAGGGGAAAAAACGGGTGTTGATACATAGGTGGAAGACATTTTCTGATTCCAATTTGGGAAAAAGAAAGTCTATTTTTGGCCAAATCTTTTTTTCGTTTCTTTTGTTTTTTTAACAGCTTTATTGAGGCGGTTTTCTAAGTTGAATCAAGCATACACAAGAAAAAAGTGTAATGACTAAGCATCTTGGCATACCTTAAGAAAGTATAACCCAGCTCCTACCCACACTGCCATTCTCATCTGTACTGTCTCGTTCCCGCTTGCGTTCTCACCACCCACAACATTACCTCAGGGTATGTTTAACACTCAAAAATCCACAAGTCTGTTCTTGACATGAATGAGAATCTCATTTCTTTCAAAATGTTATAGTCTCTAGTTACAGAAGGAATCTTATCAAAACAACCACCCAAAGTCTTCCACTCACAGCAGTTCGGAGCCGAAAAGTTGCGGAAATGAGGCCCAGCAACGGTCCCTGGCTTTGATTTGCCAAAATGCTCTGGAAGCCGCAGCCTCCGCGCCTGCCAACCACTGCTTCTCCAGGGGTTTCTTGAGTTTGACAAATTACCAACAAGTGATGTATCTTGATGAAAGAAAAAAATCACAACCCTAGAGGAATAAGGTCGCAGGGAGTGTTTTGACCAAGACCCCCGCCAGGTAAAACGAAAGCGGAGACAGCAGCAACTGTAACTATTAAGAGAAAACGCAAACAGCACAGCAGCCTTTCAAAACCAGCACCCGCAGGACCCGCTTCACCACTCCACTGCAGGGAAGACCGGAAGTCCCGCCCCTCCACTCCGGGGGCTGCCCTCTCTGCGCTTCCTGCGAAGGGCGGAGCACGAAGACGTGTAGGAACGCCGCGGGTGGTTCCTTGTCGGGAATCCCTTGGGCTTGTCTTTGATTTTTATTTCCGGTGTCCCACGCAAAAGCGGTCGGAGGGTTGTATGTCTCTCACTTTAAATCAAAAGCTGGAAATGCATGATTAAGCCTGTAAGGAAGGCATGTTGAAAGCCAAGATAGGCTGAAAGCTAAGCCTCTTTTGTCAAACAGCCAAGTTGTGAATACAAAGAAAAAATTCTTAAAGGAAATTAAAAGTACTACTCCAGTGAACACGTGAATAATAAGAAAAACCAAAACAGCCTTACTACTGATAGGGAGGAAGTTTGAATGGTCTGGATAGAAGATCAAACCAGCTGCAACATTCCCTTAAACCAAAGCCTAATCCAGAACAAAGCCCTAACTCTCTTTGAAGGCTGAGAAAGGTGAGGAAGCTGAAGAAAAGTTTAAAGCTATCAGTAGTTGGTTCATGAAGTTTAAGGAAAGAAGCCATATCTGTAACATAAAAGGGCAAGGTGAAGCCACAAGTGCTGATGTAGAAGCTGCAGCAAGTTATCCAGAAGATCTAATGAAGATCGGTGATGAAGGTGGCCAAACTAAACAGCAGATTTTTAATGTAGATGCAACAGCCTTCTAGTGGGAGATGTCATCCAGGACTTTCATAGCCAGAGAGAAATTAATGCCTGGTTTCAAAGCTTCAAAGGACAGGTAGATTGTCTTGTGAAGGTCTAATGCAGCTGGTGACTTGAAGTTGAAACCAAGGCTCATTTCCCATTTCAAAATCTTAAGGCCCTTAAGAATTATGTTAAATCTACTCTGCCTGTGCTCAAGAAACAACAGAGCCTGGATGACAGCACATCTGTTTACAGTATGATTTACCGAATATTTTAAGCCCACTGTTGAAAACGACGTTCAGAATAATAGATTTCTTTTAAAATATTGCTGCTTATTGACAATGCACCTGGTCATCTAAGAGCTCTGATGAGAATGTACAAGATTTATGTTGTTTTCATGCCTGCTAACACAGCATCCATTCTGCAGCCTATGAGTCAAGAAGTAATTTTGATTTTCAAGTCTTATTATTTAAAAAATACATTTCGTGCAACTATAGCTGCCATACAGAGTGATTTCTCTAATGGATCTGGGCAAAATCAATTGAAAACCTTTGGGAAAAAAATTCACCATTCTAGATGCCATTAAGAACATTTGTGCTTCATGGGAGGAGGTCAAAATATCAACATTAAGAGGAGTTTGGAAGAAGTTTATTCCAATCCTCATGGTTGAGTTAGAGGGGTTCAGGTCTTTAGTGAAGGAAGTGACTGCAGACGTGATGGAAACAGCAAGAGAACTAGAATGAGGAGCCTGAAGATGTGACTGAATTGCTGCAATCTCCTGATAAACCTTGAATGGATGAGTTGCTTTTTTGTTTGAGATGGAGTCTTGCTCTGTTATCCAGGCTGGAGTGCAGTGGCACAATCTCAGCTCACTGCAACCTCCGCCTGCTGGGTTCAAGCAATTCTCCTGTCTTAACCTTCCAAGTAGCTGGAACTGCAGGCATGCACCACCATGCCCGGCTAATTTTTTGTATTTTTGGTAGAGACAGGGTTTCACCATGCTGTCCAGGCTGGTCTCGAACTCCTGACCTTGTGACCCACCTGCCTCAGCCTCCCAAAGTACTGGGATTACAGGCGTGAGCCACAGCACCCTGCCTGAGTTGCTTCTTATGGGTTAGCAAAGAAAGTAATTTCTTGAAATGGAAACTACTCCTAGTGAAGATGCTGAGTATTGTTGACAACAAAGGATTTTGAATATTACATAAACTTTGGTGATAAAACAGCAGCAGGGTTTAAGATGATTGACTCAAATTTTTAAAGAAGTTCTACTGTGATTAAAATGCTATCACACAGCATTGCATGCTAGATAAATCTTTCTTTAAAGGAAGAGGCAAACCTCATTGTTGGCTTATTTTAAGAAATTGCCACAGCTGTCCCAACCTTCAGCAACCACCACCCGAATCAGTCAACAGCCATCAACATTAGGGCAAGACCCTCCACCAGCAAGAAGATTACAATTCACTGAAGACTCATATGATCATTTGTATTTTCTAGCAATAAAGAATTTTTAAATTAAGGTATGTACATTTAAAAAATATGCTTTTGCACACTTAATAGGCTACAGTATTGTATAAACATAACTTTTATACGTACTGGGAAACCAAAGAATTCCCAACTTACTTTGTTGCAATATTTGCTTTATTGTGGTAGTCTGGAACGGAACTAGCAATATCTCCATGGTATACCTCTAATGAGCAGATTTAACCTAAGCTGAGAAAATATATCCACTGAAGTTTGAAATTTAGGTACGTGTTAGTCAGGTAAAGTAGGGGGAAAAGTATTTCAAGCAGAGGTTAAAGTCCCTATGTTAAGGCTGTGAGGCCCAAGGGAAAAGAGCTTTCCCTTTAAAAGGACTGAAAGAAAGCAAGTGTGGTTTAAGCATAGTTAGGGAGGAAACAGGCCTGAATGGGAGAGATTCCTGGAGTGGGATATAGAGGTAGGCAGGCAGACTACGGAACATTAGGGATTTATGGACTCAAAATTTATATTCTCTGATACCAAATTAGGAAAAAAAGAGGTCTCTATTTTTGGCCAAGTTGTGTTTTGTGTTTGTTTTTAAACAGCTTTATTGAGGTATAATTGTTTATTACAAGGTGTTTAAGTAGGCCGGGCCTGGTGGCTCACACCTGTAGTCCCAGCACTTTGGAAGCCAAGGCAGGCGGACCACCTGAGGTCAGTAGTTTGAGACCAACCTGGCCAACATGGTGAAAACCCATCTCTACTAAAAATACAAAAATTAGCTGGGCATGGTGGCAGGCACCTGTAATCCCAGCGACTCAGGAGGCTGAGGCAGGAGAATTGCTTGAATCTGGAAGGGGGAGGTTGCAGTGAGCCAAGATCATGCCACTGCATTCCAGCCTGGGCGACAGAGCAAGACTCTATCTCAAAACAAAACAAAGTGAAACAAAAAAACAAGGTGTTTAAGTAAACGTGGCAGCACCACAGGATGGGGGCAACCTAAACCCCTAATTTACCTCCATTTTAAAAAGACTGATATGCAAATTGATATCTTACATGAAGTGTAAATAAAGGCCTCCTTAAATGATCACATTTTCATTGACCTGTAACATCAGTTTGTATTATATAATGCTAACTTAGGTCCTTTCCCACCCCCACCTTTTACCTTCCAATGTCTAAGAACCTCCTATATAGAAATCCTGTCTACTACAGAGTTTTGTGATGCTATTTGTACATTAGAAAGATTCTTGGAACTGCGAAGTGGAGAAAGGATTATAGGATGCAAGGGTTGATATGGATAGCCCAGTAGAAGGCTTTTGAAAAAGCAACAGTAGAGATCATGGCAGCTTGGATGCAGGACCTGGGCAGTGAAGATGACGAGCACAGCTCCAAGAAATATGTAGGAGACTGACTCTATATTTGGCGATGGTTGAACTTTGGGGGTAAGGGAGGGTTAGGAGTCATAGGCAATGCCAGGGTTTCTGGTTGGGACAAGTGGATAGGTGGCAGTGGTACTGATGAGGGGGATGTTAAAAGGAAGAGCAAATTTAGTGATAGCATGATTTAAATTTTGTTAGTTCACGTGGTGGAAATGGTAAATTAGTAAAGATCTGCAATCAGGAGATAGAAACAAATCTGGAGGTCACTGGCTGATAGCTGCTAACTGAAGCTACAGGAGAGGATGACATAGTCCAAGACTATTGTGACATGAGAAAATAATGTTTAGGACTGAACTTTGAAGAACACTAGTATGTACAGATTAAGTAAAGGAAGAGAAGCCCACAAAAGCATTGATGAGGAAAAGCATAAAGATAGAAAGCAAGTTAACTGTGTCCTAAATGCCTAGAGGTTTTTTCTTTTTCTTTTTTGAGACAGAGTCTCACTCTGTCACCCAGGCTAGAGTGCAGTAGTGCAATCTCGGCTCACTGCAAGCTCCACCTCCCAGGTTCGCGCCATTCTCCTGCCTCAGCTTCCTGAGTAGCTGGGACTACAGGTGCCCCCCACCACTCCCGGCTAATTTTTTGCATTTTTAGTAGAGACGGGGTTTCACCGTGTTAGCCAGGATGGTCTCGATCTCCTGACCTCATGATCCGCCTGCCTCGGCCTTCAGCCCCCACAAAGTGCTGGGATTACAGGTGTGAGCCACCATGCCCGGCCTGAGGTTTTCAATTTTAGTGTCACTTTACAATGTCACATGTTGCCATAGGATAAGCTAAGAATGAAGTCTCTCCAGAACTTGGTGACATAGAGGTCATTGGTGACTCTAGTGAGGGCCACTGTATATACTGGGGGCAGGAGCCATAGTGGGTTTTAAGCGCAAATAGGAGGCAAGGACATAGAAAACATGGGAAGACACTTGAGAAGTCCGACTGTGAAGCAGAGATAGGACTGTGGTTGGAGAGAAATATGAGCAGCAGATTTCTTCTGATGAGAATGGCGTGTTCAACAATCCATGCAAAGAGCGAATGGAGAAAGAGAGGAAAAATACAGACCAAGTAACAACAGACTCCATGAGAGAACGAGAGGAGATAGGATTCCAGCACATGTTGAATAACTGGCCTTTAATAAGAGGAGGGATTCTTCCTGTACAGGAAGAGGAGGGATGAAGTGAATACAGATGCATTTGTGTACATGGGTATCAGGTTTTTTTGTTTTTTCCCTGTGAAGTTATTAGTTATGGGGTGAAAGGGCCTTTAGAGTGAAAGGGGTTTGAAATAGTTACAGAAGGATTGAAGAGAAGCACATTAAGATTGTTGGCAGTACTGACAGCCTAACTCAATGTGCTGAACATGAATTTACAGTGATAAAAACCTACCAGAAACATGACCTCCAGCTGCAAGGATGCAGAAGCAGTGTTGGGTTCATCCAGGGCTGGT